TATTTATTAATATAAATCGTAATATTTATTACAATCTAAAAAAACACAAAAAAATAGAAATATGTCACCTACATATCTAAAACGCCTCTTGAAGTTTTTCTTCTCAGCCTTGTGACCAGCGGGTTTTGCTGCATGGGTCCATATATATGCGATGAGCGTAATTCTTTATAATACGAGATATTTCTTCTTTGATTGTTTGAACATGTAATGGATTATGCAGCCCTTCATTCGTTATATACCAACGTGCATTTATGATTATTCGTAGTGTTTTAGATTGGAATCGCTGGATTATTGCCAGGTTTGTGTCTGCCGCAGTACCCCTAAATTGAACTCCATATAGGTTTTAGTACAGTTTTGTATGTAAGCAGCTTATTATCGAGTAATAGTTTGGAATTTCGATTGAGTGTGATATGTGTGATTTTCAGGTTAGTTATCTAGATAGAATCCAGATGTATACCGAAGTATTTTATTTCTAAAACTTGTGGTAATTGGATATTGTTATTAAAACAGGAAGGCAATTAGAACATTTTGTACCACATGTTACCTGAACAGATTTTGTTTCATTTGATTGATACGTCAGTTTTTCATCCAGAGAGCATCATTGTTAAGTCAGGTTTTGAATGAATTAAATATGGTTTTGATTTATCTTTAATTATCCATTTGAATGAGTTTTGACAATAATGAGTAACATTATATTAACTATTAAATTGAAATACTAATTGTTTGAGCATAATATGCAGATCTTATATGTTCATTATTTGATGAGGTTCAAAATCATACAAAACAAAGGAGTTCTTACAATCAGCTGGCGCATCGTGAAGATTTAGTACCTCGTAAGCATTTTTATTAAAGTTATTTACTATTATACAGGTCAATATTTTTAACAACTAGACGAAACTCGTTTGTATTACTCCACTATTATTAATATTTCTAGCCACTAAAACAATGGTTCCTAAGTGGTGGTTCGCGAAATGTTTAAAAATGGTCCGTGAATCAAATTTAACAGGTATGGATACATAGCTTATAGTTCACTGAGGTCTCATTCAGTGAGATAATAAGATAATAAGCACAAAAAAATTCCAAGTAATTATATACCTATTTTATAGCCTATATAATGTACCTATGCACTTATACAATTTGTTATACATTATACCAGAGATGAATAAAGCATATTGAAATACTCATACAGTTTATTATTCTAAAACTTTATTATTCTTAAATCATAGTGATGCTTGGTCAAAAACAAGTTGGAAACCACTGCACTAGAAACAAGAAATTCAATACGCAATACAAAATGTAGGGTACTGTTAATTAAGTTTTCTTTGGCCCTTGATCTTCCAGCAATATTACAAATGGTACCCACTATATGATTTTGTTCGTTTATTATACTTAAAATCAACTCCAGATTTGACGTGATGTTCCTATGGGAGGCCCTATATATGTAACAAAATATTTCTGTTAACATAAGAAAAATTACTATTACCAATATAATTTTTTTTAAATTATTTTTTAATATAACTGTATTTATATATACATATATTGACGATATCGATTTTATGTATAAAAATCTAATCAATATCAAAATTGTGAGTATAAATAAACATAATAACGTAAAAATAATTGAATAAATAATTTTAACCCAAATTAGCTTTTAACAATTATTACTCACTTTCTCTACTTATTTTATTTTTATTTTTACCGTCTTTTGATATAAGAACGAGAAAATAAAAACAAAATTTAAGTTAAAAAACTTAATTCAAAAAATAAATACATAAATTACGAAAGATTGATAAGATACACATGAGATATATATGAGTGAAGAAGCATTAAAACAAATTTAATTAATTAAACCAGTTTAAGTATTGCTTTATAAACATCTGGATTGTTGGATTGTGTCTATAAAATGTAGCCCGTAATTAAGCGCACAGCAATTACACACGATCATCTTTACTCCAGATTTGTGGCACAATTAAATCCAGTATCTAATGCCGCTGGCATACAAACAATACGAATCAAGCAGCTTCTGGGTCAAGTTCGTTCATTAATTACTTTTTATTAAATTGTGTTAACATTTAAATTTATAAAATTAAAACCAATTTGAATTATTTGCCAATTGCACGCGATAATTTGTTGCATTAAAACTCGTTAAATATGAAATCTTTTTTTTATATAAAGATATAAAATTACAGGTACAAAACAACTATAAAACAAATGAAATGCATCTTTTACAAATTATGACAATAAAGGTTAAAAAAACTTATTTAAAAAAGTATTTTTGATTTTTTTATTAAATTAATAATTAAACATGTTATATTTAAACACATATCTGCAACTGAATTAAAATCACAAATATTTTATACATATTTTTTTTTAAAGGATATTATGTTAAGTATTTATAACGGATATAGATATTAAAGGTACGTATACTACAGGTATAAATACTAAAGGGTTATCCATTTAATGGGGCTGATTTTATGTGTAGTCTACATAACAAATGCTGAAACATGTTAAAATTGTGAAAACTTACTACAAAAATGGGTCTAACCATTTTTGCTGATGGATACAAAATAAGTAGTGGTGTAGGAAGTGGAGTTTTCTCAGAAACATTGAATAAATCTTCCTACTATAGACTTCCGGATCATTGTAAGTTTTTTAGGCAGAAGTAATTGTCATTTGGGAAGCTATAGCTTGTTTGAAAGTGGATGATATATTTGGCACAAATAGATACATGCTATTAGACAGTAAAGCTGCTTAAAAGTCCTTACGTTCAATTCACATCTAAATGAGATATCGACGCGTCTCAATGTTTCTCTATTCTAGGGCACCGGTTATAGGCATATTTTCGAAAGGCGTGATTCAGGACCTCACTCAGAATACCTAAATAATCTGGGCATGCCGTTAACATCATGCAAAGAACTGAGTTCTTTCTGTGCTGAACTCTTCAATAGAAGATGAGAAGACTCAACGTTATGTAGGCATCTGTATGCAATTTGACCATTTTCCACCAAAAAAAAATCCATCTTTCAATCTCTCATCTACTCTATCTTTGCCCAGCTCATCCATAAAGGCTATTAAACATTATATGGTTAGAATTACGTCTGGAGATAAAATAGTTCATAATTTTTTGAAAACGACAAAGGTGTGACACAAACCATCAATTTTTTTGGAGTAAAATTGAAAGTATAGATGTGGAAAGTATGTGCCTTCAAAGAAAAAGTAACACAATTCATTTAACGCACTCTATGTTGGCTTCGTTGCAAAAGATATTTCCGAGACAAATTTTTTTACGTTTTGGATGATGTTAATTGACATAAAGAACATGTGATTTATCACCACTGGACTTTTTGTGAGATTACGTAAGAAAAGCTATTTTTGCCATTAATTATTAAAAACTTGTGTTTTGAAAAGCTATAACTTAATATAAATTAACTTAACACCCATTAAGTTAAAAAATTACAAAAATTAGTCATAAAATTACATGTGGTTTTAAAAGATCAACCAAGAAATGGTTAGTCTAGTCCTGTAAACATTATTCCTGAACATTTAACAACTGTTTCCAGATTTTTTTACGGATGTCTACTACGAATATCTGCAATTCGTTTTAATTTGCACGGATATTATTTATTTGAAACAGTTTAATGCTATTGAACTAATTTGTGAGACCTGCAATTTTAAATCTAACAAAAAGAATAAATAAAAAATTTTATTATGGGAAAGTGAAATCCTAAATTTTCTCAAATTAAATTTCCACTCGAATTGTAATTTAAAGAACTAATTTGTAAAAGCCATCTAGGAAACCAAAACAAAATTAACAAAAAGTTTGGTTGATATATCACTGAATATTGCATATCATAAAAACTGATCTTACAAACTTAAAGTCATTCATTTTATTTAATTATATAATAAATAAACATGTTAAACTTTAATTTTACAAATGAAAGATACTTTAAGATATTTTAAACATTTATTTTGCATCCGCTTGAGGTATACTTAGTACCTAAATTTTTACAGTTGAATTAAAAAGATGGATTTTAGTACTACTTAATCCTTAATAACTTTTTGCTAGTTAAATCTAGGATTAAAGCATGAAGTTGTATTTTTTGTAATAAAAATTTTTTTAACTTATTAATGAAAATAATTATATATAAAAGGAAAATTAAAAAAAGAATCTTCACATAGATTTATTTATTTACAATTTATTTTACTATTTATTTATTTTCTGCAAAAACAATTAAATTTTGTGTACTCTATTAGGTAAAAGAATTTGAAATTTTAAAATCCAAAATTTGAAAAATAAAATATTAATCCAAAAACTTCCTTTTTTATATCCCTTTTTGCCATTTATCGGTTAGAACTATTATTTCTTTAATGTAGTATTTGGCGGTTCTCTTTCGTCAAAATTCTAATGTAATTGTTTTTTAAAGTCCCTTTTCGAGCTCAATTTCACATCATCAAGAAAGTTTTGAAAAGATCAACACAAGTAATAAGCTGTTTATGTAATATTGGAACTATACAATAAATGTATCTTCCAGTTAGGATTTTTAATCATGTAAAGAATTTCAAAATAAAGACATGGTGTAACTGTATCATAATTTTATCAACTTCAATCAACTTCTTTAAAGAGAACCGAAATTTCTCTTTAAGGAAGTTAAATTTGAATACACCTTCTTTTTATTTTATTTCTATTTACTTTGCATGATATTCAAGTCCTTTAACGTATTTCTTTAAATTAACGAATTTTATTTAAAACATCTTTTTTAAGCTGGTAATTTTAATTTCAGGAACAGAAAAAAGTCCCAAACCATTTATATGAGTACTGATCTTAATAAAGTACATTCAATAAATTTTATAAAACGATAGATTTATTCCCTTGTAGAACACTTAAAAGAAAACA